CGGTACGAAGCTACATTACACTGAGAGATTCAAGGAGATGTAAATCACTAATGTAAATGAATGTAAGGTCTGTTTATGCTTATGTTTATTATTGACGATGACATCCTAAAGTTTTAATATAAACAAATTACATTTCTTCAGAAATGCTTTGATAATATATTTATCATGTTTTCTGGGAACAAATTCCGCAATATTATTCTATAAAATGAATACTATGATTTTCAAATAAGCATAAATAAAATTTTTAAAATGACCGTAAATTTGGGGATGTCACATGGACACTATATAAACACATTTTATGGATCATGAAACCTTTATTTCTCAACATCCTCTGACCTCATAGCCTCATATTCGAAACCCTAAACCTCTCCTTTGTGTTTTGAGATCATTGTGTCCGCTTTGGTGTGTTTTGGTCCATAATCAAGAAGTAGAAGCTTGGTGCAAGATTGTTGATTAAGGAGGAGCTTGTGGATCCTGATTCTCTACTCTATTTCCAGCTTGTTTGAGGTAAAAAGATATAAACTTGCTCATTAATGACTTATATCTAATATATATGAGTTTTGGTCACTTTTTTGCCCCATGAATGAGATCTAGTGGTTTGATACCACTCCAGGAGCTTTGAGTTGCCACTCTTGGTGTTTTTGAGGCTCAAAGTCCATAAAGTTGGCATCTTTAGGATTTAGAATCACCCATGCATGAGATTGTGTCTATTTAGTGAAAGTAGAGTGCTATATCTTGAAGTTGGCTCCTTTTGGGGCACGCAAAGTCACCAAGTCAGTGACTTTATGGTTCTAGACACTTATTACGATTCAAATATGTGGTTTGGACTTCTGGACTTAAGCATTAAGTGTTTAAGGAAGATTTTGGCTTAATGGGTGGGTACGCTGGGCGTACAAGCCTGTACGCACGGTGTACAAGCCATATAGCATGTACGCTTAGCATACAACTGAGTATGCCTCACATACCCAGTCAGATGGGTTTTTGCATTTTGGGCTTCAAGTTTGGGCTTTCTTTTGGGCTTGGGTGTTTGAGTTCTTATTGGGCCATCAGTGTAAGTGTATTGGACTAGGAAAAATTGTTGGCCTTTAGGGTAAGGCCCATGTAGGGGTTTGGGCCCAATTTGGAAAACTGGGCCACAAATGGGCCTTGGATGATTAATTGGTTTTGGGCCTTTTGGATTGTGAGTATGGGCCTTAGTCTTGGACCAAACTAGGCGAGGGGTAAAATGGTATTTTTTACCCTAGGTATGGATTAATGGATATGGGTTGGAATCCAAATGTTAATTGGGTGTTATTTTATATTGATAGCTCGGGGATGCGTCGGACCAGCAACCAGGGATTTTCTGTGAGATTCAACAGTCGAGGTGAGTTTTCTCACTAGGTTTAGCGGGTCTAAGGCACCAATGCCGGCCCTTATTGTTTATGTTAGGATGCTAGGAGTCTGCGTGACCCTTGCATGTGTTATGTGCTGCTATGTATACTAGGCGGGGCTCGATGTCGGGCAAGGCCCGATGACTGAAACGTATGTTATTGTTTTATGATCATTATATGTGTTAGCATGATTATGTGCTATATATTGTATGTGTATAGTGGACGGGACCCGATGTCAGTCGGGGCCTAAGAATAACAGATATGTATACCGAGCGGGGCTCGATGCTAGGCGGGGCCCGATGTAGGGTGGGGGCCCAATGTGTGATTTATTATGTATGGTATGAGGTAGTTTGGGGAACTCACTAAGCTTTGTGCTTACAGTTTTCAGTTTATGTTTTAGGTACTTCTGGTTCCAAGGGGAAGAGCTCGGGATGACTGCATCGCACACACCACATAGTTCTGCTTTTGTGATTTATTCTGATTGGTATGATGTTGATACACTTAGTTTCACTTGGATTGTATTGATGATGTTTTTGGAATACTGTTTTCTTTAAATTAAAAATGAAAATTTTTGGGTCATATTTTTGGGACGTTACAAGTTGGTATCAAAGTCTTAGTTTAAGGGATTTGGGCACACCCTCAGGTGTGTCTGAACTCAAAATGAGGGTTTGGTAGAATTTTCAAAAAGAAAATGTTTATAAAAATGGTTTTAATAAAAGAAAAAGGGTGTGGGGCATGCAATTGACCGAGCTCCAATAAGTTTTCCCAAATTACTCATACATGTTATCGATATGATTTAATCAATGAATCTGTAAATCGCATGCTAGTTAGGGCTTAGGATCTGCTCAGTTTTGCATGATAGTATGCTAGCAGAGATGCCTTTGTATGCCTATTGTATGAGCTTGTAGACTTGCATGCTAATATTGATTAGTTGGTGATAGGATGGCCTTATTAGGTTGTGCTTGGTTCTGGTTACTTGATGCCCGAATGCTGCTTGCTTTGTGCTTTCTAGGAGTTCTAACTAACTTTAGTTAACTAGTACGCGGATATGATAAGTTACATACTGTGGGAACTAAATAATTTTAGAAGGGTAGGTTTTAACTCTATTGCACAGCTCTTGTTTGAGTCCAACCGTTGTAGTGTGAGACCTCTCATTCGAAGAATTATCTGGTTTTAGTGGTGTTGTGACATGTCTCCGGCTTAGCTCCATCTCTTTGAGGGATGGGAATGAAGGTCCTAAGAATCACAACAAAGAAAACAAGATCGTCAGTCGTCGTCAAGGAGGCGATCCCGGAACGAAGCTCCGACGATCAAGTCAGTTCCTTTTTTAGAGAGAAAGTGAAAAGTGTTATGTAAGTGTTTAAGGGTTTTTTTTCCCGATCCCTTCTCTTGGAGGAGAAAGGACCTTTTTATACCTGTGGTCAGGGGGACAGATCCCCGACAATACCTTTTACCTTTTCGGGTTTGGCAGGAATAGATAACCTTCGATTGGTAGATCGTGCTCCGCGAGTGGTTGTTTGCTATTGGTGCAGGTTTGCCAGGAGCGGCGTCCTGAGCGCTACACCTTTCGCTTTGGGAGGCAGTTGGTACTGTTTTGTCTTGACGCTGGCCTTGGTGCTTGGGCGCCAAGGAAAAAACACGGGATCGCGAGGGTGAGGACGCGGTGTTAGACATATGCCGTCCTTTGCCCAAACCATCTATTAGACTGACGGTTCCGTTATGTTTGACATATTCCTGGTGGGATACGTTAACAATTCCCCTAGGCTAGTAGACATCAACATTTTCTTAGGGTAGCTGAGTTGTTCTAGCTTAGATATGGACACGCGTTTGGTGGGGATGGCTTTTTGACAACTACTGACGTGATGGATGCGTCTGCACAGGCGGTTTTCATCATCACAACCATTTGAATTTCCCGCCCGCATTTAAAAATTCCCCCATTTGTATCAGTTCACCTTTTATTTTTTGGCTTCTTCTCACTTCTGCTACTTCTTTTCCTCTTTCCCTCTGTTTCTGCTTCTTTTTTTTTCGACGAACAATGGCCAGTCCAAATACCCGAATCGTTCATTCTCCGAGCGAGTTCTCCGATCTCCAAGAGCGGTGGTTTCCTTCCTAAACATGGTGTGGAATACGCTCGAAAGCGGGCTATAATTTCTCGTCCACCAGAGGGGAAAATTGGAGTCCCCATTCCGATATTCGAGGCTGGCCAACGACATACTTTTTCGACGAGATAATGCGCCAGTATGGCTTCCGCGTGGATGACTTGACTCCAAACGCTGTCAACAAGATTGTTGGTTTTGAACTCGTTTGTTGGACCCTTGGAGTTTTGCCACAGTTTTGGGCATTCAAAGCTTTCTTCAATTCTTTTACTCAATCCAGTGCTCAGACTTTTTCCCAAACGCGGGGTGTTCATGCCTTCATTATTAACCAAAAAGCTCCGAAGAAGAACTGGCAAGACCGATGGATCTGGGTAAATCGTGACCTTGTCGGTTTTGGCTATCCTCGTTTGACTACTTTTTCCGATCGAGCACCAGAACTGTGGGGTGCCAGTGCCACTGTGGCGCACGCATTGAAGACCATTTGCATCAATGGTGAGGATTGAGAGGATCATATGTTGGCTGCAGTCGGGATGAGCGCTGCTTATTGGTATACATGAACCCAATACAGAAACATTAACGAAGTAGTAAACCTTGTTTTGTACATTGTTTACATGCTGGAATGGAGTAGTGACATCGACCGGGGAGGTAGTAACAACCACGTTGCCCCGTTTTCCTCCCTTTCTTTTTTGCTTCCTTGCAATGAACCACCTCCAACACAATCTTTCTATCTTCTCGTTTAACTCTATCATGGAGTCAAGTTATGTTTAGCCGGTTGAACCGGTTAGACCGGAACCGGGGAAGAGAACGGTTCAACTAACACCGATTTTATGTTTTTTTGAACGGATGATTAGTGGTAAAAAGTTAATAACACCAGGTTAGTAAAATCACCAACGCCCAGATTAGAACCCGAGACCTCCAATCTAAGAGACAAAACCTCTGCCAAGTAGGCTAGTCCTACATTGGCGCACCGATTTTATGCTTATTTCTATATCAGAACAAAATGACTTATTTTACAAAAACTCGGTTGAACCGGTTAAATTGAACCGTTAAAACCCGGTTTAACCATTTAAATTGAATTAATACACATGAAAATAAAATTTTTTACATAACAAACTTTGATTATTTTTTCGTATCTATCTGGACTTCTTATATTTTGTTTGATAAACTTCATGATCATTTTCACATCTAAAATAAAAAAACAACATAAATATTTTACAAATTAAATTGACCAGTTGAATCAAAATCCGTAAAAACTCGATTTATAAAACATTACTCAAGAACCAAAGTACTTTCTAAATTGTTCGGTCTTTAGAATTTAAATTATTCTGGGCTAAATTGTTAATCCTGTTCGATCCATCTCTCGATCATCGTTACTTCTTTCATGAAATCCTTCAAAATCTTCTTACGTAGGGTTTCTTCTTCGATCTCAGATCACCTGAGACCACCGTCATCACAATCACCAATCTATTAATGATTTCGCCTCCAACACTCAACCCTGAGCTGTCAATCGCTTATTACAATCACCACCAGCGCCATGACGGACTCAGTAGACGATCTCGGAGGAGGATTTGAAGAAGATCCGCCGGATTCATGGGAAGTTGCCGACATAGACGCTACCATGAGCAGGTTAATGCTCTCCTCTAAGCGGGAATCCGACAACACATCCCCCAATCTGACTTCTGCTTCGTCTCTTTCGGAATTCACTTCGGCTTCCTCAGCTCCGGCTAGGTCCTCGTCTGGTGGTGTACTAGAGGACACGGTGAATTCTGTCGATCAGTTCCTCCGTGAAGCTGTACAAAACCCCAGGGAACGTCTATCAGGTGTGTATCCTGTGACTAGTCCTTTTCAATCATCATAATGCTTTTCCAGGAACTCTTATGAATCTGTTACTACTAACTTCCATCAACGTTAATGTTTATGTGATTTTCAGTGCTACGGTTGGAGCAGGAAGTAGAGAAGTTCATTAGAGATCCTTCACAACAACAAATGGAGTTCCAACAGCTGCCTACTTCTTATCTGAGGTTAGCTGCACATCGTCTGGCTCACCACTATTCTCTTCACTCCATGGTATCACCGGACAATAACCTTCCTGATGGTTCTGGTTCCAAAATTATCATCCAAAAGACTTCTGAATCCCATCTTCCTCTAATACGTTTAGCTGATATCCCTATAAAACCATCCACCCATAACTCCACCACCAATGTTGTCAAGGTTGCAATCAAACAAAGGCCCAATAAGACATCACAGATTTCTTGTGGACCAAATTCAAATTCACCAAGGAGCAATAGCTTAAAAAGTGTGGAGGAGAGAAAAGAAGAATATAATCGGGCACGAGCAAGAATATTCTGCTTCAATGCAAGCAGTTCATTAGAAGAAGACATGGATAATGTAAGGTCTATAAGTAATAGTAGAGTGGCTATCTTACGTGATCATGAAGTTGAAAGAAAGGATCCCGATTATGATAGAAGCTATGACAGATACACACAAAGATTTGATCCGGGATTTGGGTTTAATGTAGGCTCGTATCTTGTACAACCTATGTACACACCTGTTTTGAACTACAACACCGAGTTTCCACAACTTGGGTCAACTCATAGGGCTCCATCGGAACACCAACCTCAATGGGTTGCACCATCCTTGCCCAGTTACAGACCTTCAGAGTCAATGGTGACTCCATTTAATCATGGTCATGGTGTATACATGCAGTACCCTTCTCAGCAGCCTGAGATGACATTCATCCATCCTCATGAACACGCACACCAACAATTGGCACAGGTAACATATTTCTAGTACTCTGGGATGACATGCGACTGAATTTAGCTATATTTATATTTTCGGTATGTTGATTGCTATTTTACTTTTTTCTTTGAATGCCATGTGTTTGCAGACTCAACAGCAACAATTTGATGAGGGTTTTGGATTAGGGCGCCCCCGATGAGGGGGCTAGGGCCATGCCTGCACCCTGCCAGAGCAATGACCTACCATGCTTATCTTATCTGGCATGGGTGCAGGCTGGGACAAAAAAACATGTAATTTTTGTCCCATTTACATCGATCCCAGTCTGAGTTCAATGCATGCCAAACACAGAACAATTTGTTCTATCTTATCCTGGCATGCATAACAGATAGGACCTTGAACATTATCACAACTGTGAATGTACACTTCTTTTCCAAGTGAAGGTAACTCTTGACACCTTCCTTCCTCCTGTGTACCCTTCTTTTAAATATCTAAACACAATGCCATTTGATTATGGGATATATATAGAAAATTATATTTACATCATGACTATAAATGCGGCTTCTTTTTTTCTTTCACTATTTTGTGAACATGCTTTAGTTTTCTTGTGCTTTTGCATTAGTGTAAAGCATGTTTGGGGATGAAAAGGAACATGATGATACCTGCTTCTTCTGGATCCAAAGTTAGACTATAGACAAAGATTTATCTATTTTTGCAAGCCTGCTTGTTGTATAGGTATGCTTTCTTTTCTTTTCAAGTTTTTATTATTTTTTGGATATGCATCCTGTTTATTTAGTATGAATTTCACATAAGTAAAAAGAAACACATGCATTTATTCCGAAGATTAACATCTTTGGATCTCATCTCAAAAAGATCAAAGATCAGCGTAACACTTGTTGACAATATCTCTTATGATCTCTTTGGTGCCTAGTTGTAAAACTACATATACAAATTTAACATGTGTCAAAATGAAGATGCTCTAAACCTCTAATAAAACAACCAAAACAAATGAATTAAACCTAAGTTAAATCAAGTCACCATTAGATCAAATGTTTTTTCTAAAGTTTTAACTCTTTTAAGTGTCAATGATCCAATATGCTAATTGCCAAGTCTTAACTCTCAAGTGTAGTGCTGCCAAGTAGACAACCAATCTTGGGAATCAACTAAATTAAAGAGAGACAAGTTATTAATATCTTATGCAAATCATCTTAAAAAACTCATACACAAACACAAAATTGTACCTCTAAGTATATTGCTTCACCTCTAGGTTGACGATTAACATCTTTGTCGAGGTCTACAATTTGACAATATAAAACCAATTATGTCAAATATTAATTGAAACCTGAAAGCCTTGTTCCCGAGTTCTACTTAAGGAGGGAAAATGGGAGGATACGGAGGGAAAGTGAGGGGTGTCGAAGGAAAATCGTTTTCCCGAGTTTCATTAATGGAATGAAAGTGAGGGGAGGGAAAGGATTTTGGAGTCATATTTTCCTTACAAAATTTCCTCTCAAATTGGGCGGATTTGGGAAGAAAGTGAGGGGAAGGAAAATTTTAAGTTTTATTTTCTTTTTCCTCCTAACTCGGGAATACAAAAACTTAAAATTTTCCTTTCATTTCTTTTCATTTCCTTCAAACTCGGAAACACGAAATAATGAATATTTTCCTTCCCCTCCCTTTCTTTCTGGTCAAAATTTTCCTTCCCTTTCCTTTATTGACTTTACAAAAAAACTCGGAAACAAGGCGTTTGTTAAAAAAGGAATGTTAAAAGCACCATGATTACCTCCTTCAACAGCTTTAGGATTTTCCCAACATTCCTAAATATCCATCGGGATGGAACTTTAACGTACCCAATCTTGTGAATAAACCAAACATGCAATCAATTTAGGAGTCAAAAAATTATTAAATGGGTTCAAAACTCTTCCACTTGTGTTAAAACCCGACTTCGAAGCCACAATCGATATGTGAATTGCCAAGACCTATTTAGCCAATAATCATAAAATTGGAAACCTTGGGCTATACCCCCCACCAGTTCAAGATGTCAGACTTTGGGGAATTGGTTTCATCTTCTTCACTCACTCTACAACTACCTATTTTCATCGTCATCTTTATTAAGAAAATTATTTTATTAATATTTCGGGTTCAATATCGGCTGGTGTTAATGATGAAGCTTAGGAAGCTCTAGAAATAGAATGTGGAATAAAAGAATAATTTTATCAGATTTTAAACAGTTCCTCGATAGCATTTATAACAATGTTAAGAATTGATACTTTATCAACTTTTCAATAAACCTCTAAAAGCAAAACCTCCAAATACTTTTTTTTTGGATAATACCCGAAAACAACATACACCAACATATGGAACTTCTCAAATTTTCTGTAGTATTTATCAAATTTACTTTTCATTAACTTCACCATATAAAGAAGATTGATATCGTTAGCCCCATTTAAGAATTTTTTCAAAACTGCAAAAATAGAATTAATGTGATCCAAAAAGTGTGGCGTTACATAATGTGTACCGAAAACTTTCAAAGTAAGGTCATGTAAAAGTTTATAGAAGCCGATTGTTTTTCTAACATTTGCCCAAACCAGCGATGTTGGCACCCATGTTTTTTTTGAAAATCGTCCCTAAAATGGCGTTCTCAATCGTACCTATAAAATGCTCTTTCATAAAGTTAAGCTCTTTCTAACATAAAATAGGTATAATACTATCCTGTAAGGACAAAGCCAAACTTTGTTAGTTTTATACTTTTTAATCTTGACATACTGTTTTAATCGACCAAATCTAGATGGAAATTGACGAATATATTTCACCGCACATGTAACAAATTCAACATCTCTATCAAGTTCAACACGTTCTTATGTGACCCAAACCATCTTAGACAATCAAATTCATAATGTTTGTGTAATGAACTAAGATAGAAATTCTAACATATTCAAGATAGATTGTATTGCTTTTTTGGAATATTATAATGAAAACAGAGGAATATTATTGAAATAACAAGGAAAATAAGATAGTATTAGCACTTCGAGAAGCTAATGATCTCCAAAATGAAGGAAACTTCTAATATTCTCTAATGATGCTGTCTAGGTCCTTTGGCTATCATTTATACTCAATGATGATAACTTTTTGCACTAATTACTATTTTTGCCCTTATTCTGTCCCCACGATTGCTGCTACTTGATGGTTGGCTGTGGTCCCTTCCTTAACGTGTCATTTTTGTTGTTTTCTCCTCCTATACATGAATTGAATTGGTGGGTGCACCACATTACCCCGTTCCTAAAGATTGACTTTGTCCTCAAGGTTAAAAGGTCAAAATCTGGAAAATTTTCTTGGATTGTAGCAACATCTTCCCAGGTGGAGTCATATTTTGGGACATCCTTCCATTTGATAACACTTTCGTTTTTTTGACCATTGTTCTCCATCACAATGTGCACTTGGCAGTTATAGCGGTCCAAAATCAAATATCGGTCAAGGGCCGATATTTGAGATATAGGTTATCGAGGTGAGATATCGGTATATTTATATCATGCATAATTTATATATATATATATATATATATATATATATATATATATATAAAATAGTAATATCAAAAGTCAAAACTCAAAAGTGTCAATGTCTAAAGCATAATCATACGTAAGCCATGGAATCTTCCTCCAAGTCCACGTCAACCAAGGCTTCCAATTATTGTATAAAGATCTTCCACATCAACTCTAATAGCATCATCATCATCATCATCATCATCACCGATTAAGAATTAAGTACTTAACATAACAAGATGATCAAACCTGTAGAAACTAGCAAGTTAACACTTAAATATTTAACAATTAACACAACAATAGGATCAGTTAAGACTTAAAACCATGAGTCTATGACTTAAAACTAACAATTAAGCACTTAACATAACAACAGGTTCAGATAAGTTAAAACCATAAGACTTAAGTCAATGATTTAACACTAACAGAAGTAAGTAAAATTACTGAACCGATATTCCACCTGGAAATCACCTTGAAATATCAGTGAATATCGGTTAAATATCGGTAAATATCACCGATTTTTGCGGTTCCGATATTTTGGACTGATATTTGACACCGATATTTTGAAAGGTACCGATAACCGATATCCCACCTGGAAATCACCTGGAAATCGCCGATATTAACTGCATAGAATGTGCATACCCTTGACTTCTTCTGGTCCCATTTCAACTCCATCTCTTCTGTTAGTTGTGCCGAAAGGTTTGTTGTGGCAACTTGGTTTCCAATTGTTTTTTTTTTCAGTTGGGACAAATGAAAATTTGGATAGATCTTAGTTGATTCGGGAAATTTGAGTTTGTAAGTCCCTGCCCTAATTTTTTGCACTATTAAGTATGGTCCATAAAAACGGGTTGCTAATTTTGGAATGGTCTGAGTTGTGGAATGTTATCGATATGGTTGTAGCTTCAAATACACCCGATCCCCTTCCATGAACATGGCATCCTTCTGATTTTATCCCCGCCAATCTGTCGCATCCCTAATTTTCTCGGCAAGGAAACACCTTTTTATTTATGCGTATTTTAAAACAAAGTATTCTTTACATTGCGGAATTTGTCCCATAAAAGGTTTTTCCGAAGAAATATATTCATTGATTATTAAAACTTGGGATGCCATAACTGATACAAGAAACATAAGCATAAACGTGCCTTACAACATCTTTTATACTATGACCTATATTTTCTTGAATCTCTCATTGAATCCAAATATCATTATCTTGGTACTGCTTTATGTAATACAAAGAAACTGAGTGGGTCAGGTTTGGAAACCTGGTGAGTACGTAGGGTTTTCAACCGACACTAGTATAATTAGCTTTTTGTTTAATTATCTATTTCACATCGAACATTTAATCCAATTACCCATCCCCGTCCTCATATATTCATCTCTAAGGATCTATCCTAAGAATCATAGTCAATATTGCATTTCCTTATATGTCTAGGGACCTCTCCTAAGGATCATCGTTAACATCGTATAAACAGTACTGTTTCAGATATTCCTCCGCAATACATGTCTGTAAAGTACATCGTATGGACAAGTAGTTCATCACCTACAGGTTATGAACATGCTAGTGTTCCACCAGACTGTTTAGAATAGTCCGTGGTTGTCATCTATACTCTGTTAGATGACTACATCACAATCATCACAAGTGAAAGTCTTGGTATCTCCTAATCATCTCCCATCTCTCATCGCCCGTCACTACCCTATATATATATATATATATATATATATATATATATATATATATATATATATATCATAAGTACGAAAATACTTATATAATTAAATCAAGTAAAATCACGTCATATAGGTTCATCTAAACATAACTCAGATAATAGGCACATATAACATTTAATCATCTAAATACTTCATATCTATGTGTAAGATGAAAGTAACTATACACTCACTTGCTAAAAGTGGATTCCTTGAGATTTGAGCAGCGTTTCACTTTAGCACTTGACTTCTCCTTTGATATGACCTAGGTTTAATTATCACTAAGTCTTAGTCTGCTATCCCTCGTGACTAATGATAGTCTAGATTCCTCAACAATCCCAATGTCTACATCAAGATCTATACTCTAAGGAATAACCATGTAGGATCATATCGGAGGTTGGGTCCGTTTGGTATACAAAGTATATTGTTTGAAAATCCCACTTTAAACACTTCA